AAGAGTTAGATCAACTAATCTCTTCTATAAAAAAGAAGCTACTGAATTTCATCATTCTCCCAAAAGAGCATCCAAATGTGGCTTTGAATGCATTAAGAACTGAAGAGTTACTGTTCTCTTGCTAGGTGGCTTCAGGACTTGATCACTTGCCCTGGTAAAAATTGAGGAGTGCTCCGAATATGAATTAGTCTGATGCTAACTGCTAGATATTGATTCTTTTTAGGTCTTACACAAGATTAAGCAATACCTCTCGTTTTGGTGGAAGAGTGAGGGACTTAGCTTCAATAAAGGATAAATACTCAGAAACATTAACAGTGATGTGTGTGGTTATGGCAAAGGGCTGTTTTGTGGTGACAGCCACAGCTAACTGAGCATGTAGACTACCTCAGGTACTGGAAAATGCTAGCTATACCAGTACAGAACAGAGCTGAAGCTAATCAAATACAGGCCTGGGAAAGGGGTTCACGAGCACCTCCATCATGTGCTTATCCTGCAGCTGGCAGCCCAGTGAGTTTGTTCAGTACTTCCCTCTGCTGTCCTGTGCAGAAATGCGTGCAAGGAGCAATGGGGAAACAACCAGGGAGGACGCATGAACCTGGGGCTTTCACCACACAGCGTTGGCACTAACAGGGTTTTGATAAGAACAGGTTTGTGGTGAAACCACCCTTAGGTGTTTACCTTTTCGGTGCTTTCAGAGTACCAGACAGATTCCCAACCATTACGTCCATGCGAACTTCAGAGGGAAAAGGCTTTTTCAGGAGGAGAAACCTACGTTCCTCAGTGCTCAGAAGATGGCCAGTTCAGGTAACTCATCCCTGCTATTATTCTACTGTTATGCGACATGACCTTTCATTACTAATGAAAGCTTTAGCTTCAGTTTTGAAGAGCCTCTGTATCGGTGGACTGAAGGGTGAGGGGTGCAGGAGACTGAAGGGGCTTCATTGAGCCATGTTGCAGATCCAGCCTCTACTGAATAAATTTCATGTTTCTGGAAATAATCTCTGGGTTAAGAGGTCAATCTGATATTAATAGGCTAATCTTGGCAGCGTTATTTGCATGTTAAATACTCGGTGCAGGTTGTTGTGTAATGCAACTGCTGTCTTCCTACGAATGCTCATGGGTGCCTGATCTGTGAGCAGTGTGCCAGTTGGCACAGTCGAGCCAAGTTGACTTGGAGAAGTTATCCACCCTGCTGTAAGTGGCACAGTTGGGTTTCCTTCTAGAGGCAGTAAAGGAACTGAAGCACATGGAGAACAGTGGTTTAGAGAGCAGCATGTTGCTTGAAGATGCAAGAAGCTATTGAGTTAAAGCTGAGGCTGAGGGGGAGTGCACACTGTAACATTCTCTATTATCGTACTGTTTCTGCCCAGGGTGGGGGACCTAAACCGTGCTAGTTTTGACTTAAAAATATCTCAAAATGTATGGTAAGTCTCAAATACTGAAAATCAGGATTCTGTCTAACCTGCTTGCTTCCTGAATGACTTCAAGTCACTTATCTGCAATTCCTGAAGATTTCAGAGAATTGCTAGAATTAAAAGCTCCCATCAGGTAGACTTAGATTCAGCAGAAACACAGCCCTTTCTGATTCCATTATTTGTGGTCTTAAAGTACTTGAACTTGTTTGGCTTGCTTTGTGTCTTGGTTTATGTCCCATACTGACTGAGGACTCTGTCACTAACAAAGTAAAACATGTTACTTGTGGTCTCCTTCAGGACAGTTCAGTGCAGTCGGAATGGTCTTTCCTGTTGGTGTGTGGATGAGAATGGTATTGAAGTACCTGGCAGCAAACAGAATGGATATCCCATGTCTTGTAAGTCACAAGTTTCTCTTTTGGTTAGTGTTAAAGAGCCATTTAAATCTGCATTTGAACTACTGAAATCAAGAATAGGTTAGCCCTGGACTTTGATGGACTCTACTTTGTTGTAATTTGATGGGGATTTCTAGTGGAAGTTCTGGAGTTTCTTCAGAGCTGATCACGGACACCTGACACACCTGGATGATCTGTATTCATGAAGGTCACAGTAATGTAAATCATGAATGAAAGATCAACATAATGTATTGGCTTTTGAGTTGGAGGGCTTCAACCCCATCTGTGATGGGTTTCTGTATACCAATTTTCATGACCTCAAGTCCATCAATGTCCTCATGCCGCCTGGGTGGCAGAATCAGAACTTGCAGCTCTGAGAAAACTCAGATGTTGCGTTAATAAATGATTCAGTGCCCAACAAGTACCTTCCTCTAACAGTGCCCCTCTCTGGTACCACAGGCTTATCCTTTTGCCAGCTGCAAAAGCAGAGGATCTTGGTGAGTCGCTACATCAACAGCAGCAGCGTCTCCTACATCCCTCAGTGCCTGGATTCAGGGGCGTTTGATGCGGTGCAGTGTGACACGGAGCTGGGTCAGTGCTGGTGTGTAGATCCAGAAGGAATGGAGATTTATGGCACCAGGCAGAGAGGAAAGCCAACACAGTGTGAGTAATATTCAACAAAACAGTGGGGTTTGTAGAGTGGGAAGGTTTACTGTGAATGCAAGGTGGTAGATCAGGAGCTTGGACACTGCAGCCTACACTTATCCTAGAGAAATATAGATGCCTAACTGAGGAATTTAAGTCTCTTTTTCCTTTGGTTATGAAGAGAATACAAGGCACGTAGGTGTCCATATTCAATATAATGAATCTAAACTCCTTCCAAACCATGGGATGGCTACTCAGCTGTTTGTGGGAAGTTAAAACACCAGTAAACATTACTTTTTTTCCTGGTCAGGTCCGGGGAACTGTGAGATCCGAGACCGTCGCATCCTTCATGGGTTTGGGGAGAAGAGCCCACCACAGTGTTCAGCAGATGGGGAGTTTCTGCCTGTCCAATGCAAGTTTGTCAACACTACAGACATGCTGGTTTTTGATCTCGTTCATAGTTATAACAGGTAAGAGCGTGGGCTTCTGAAACAGTGAGGCAATCCTGCATACCTCTTCAAGTCAGTGTCTTACTGCATTTTTATTTTTCCACATGAAGCCCTTCTTCTGTGACCCCATATGATGTTATTTTCTGTTAATGAACGGACCAAGTATAAAACTTTTTCTTCTGAATTAAATTTTCTCATTTAGAAAAGCCTGATATTCCATCAGTCTAATCAGCGTGTCCTCACACAGCAGTGGATACCACATTGTGATCTGTATTTGGAAAAGTAGCCAGGGCTACCTTTCAGACAGACACACAACAGCAAATGAGGTAAATGTGGAAGGAAGAGAGGAATTCAAATGTATATATGAGGGAGGAAAGATGATTCCATATGGGAGATGAAAACAGATGGACAGACGGACAAATGGCAATATGCAAAGAGCATGTTCCATGTGATGGTGGGAAACTCGTCCATTTAGGCAGTGCCAAGGTTGCTCGCACAGGTGAACCAGCAAGTGATGAACGGGTGTGCTGACATATGACTGGCTTTGGGTGGTTGGAGTGGGCTGGGAAAGGCTTCAAAATGCTGGATCAAATGCTTGTCCATGGGAGCAAGAAGCTGTTGTCCTGTGGAGGAGTTGGGAATTAATGCTCAGGTGGAGAAATAAGGGATGGACAAGAGGAACCGCAGGGAGAGGAGTCCATTTTGGTGAAGATGTTCAGACACTCCAGAGAAACCTTTTGGTCTATTGCGAAGTGCTGTTACCTTGGCTTCTCAGCCAACACGTTTCTCCGGTGGAGGGCAGTGGCATAAATGTAATGTCTCATTCTGACTTGGCTCTGTAGTCGAAAAGGCATTTTATTGTAAATGTCAATTTTGCTGTTTTGAGGGTTTTCTTTTTTAATTTAAGCAAAACTGAAAGGCAGGCCCAAATGCACAGTGCAAATTTGTCAGAGCTTTGGGAGAGGTTATTTTGGCAAGAGCAAAATAATCTGGCTGTTTTATTTGTTGGCCTGTGGAGTGTGGAAATTCTAAAAGAGCAATTACAGAGGAGAAAGCAATGCTTTAAACTAACATTTTTTTCTCCCGTTGGGAGATTTGTCTGCAAAGGCCTGCAAGATTGGGCTTTTCTTGTGCCCATGTCATGTAATTAATCACAGCAGGATCATTTCACTCACCAGCTGTCTACCTTTCTAATTATGGCCTTGACTTAACCCCCATCACATCTGAGTATCTCAGGTCATTAATATATTTATTTTCACACTATTCCTGCCTGAAATGTCATTATCCTATCCCATAAACAGGGGGCCAGAATACGGAGTTGAAAGGATGAGTTCCACAGCAAAGGACTATAGCAGAACAGGGATTTAAACCCATCCTTTATCTTCACGTGGAACCAGTGGAGCAGCTTTCTTTGGTTCCACAGACTGATTTTTGAAATCTAGACATGTCAAACTAACTCCCTTTCCAAATTGTTTCCTTACACCTTTATAAATATTCCAGAATAAATCAGTATGTTAAAAAAAAATAAAAAATGGAGAGATTCAGAAGCTTTAGAGCTAAAACTTTCCCAAAAGGAAGACTTTTGGAAAGATGACCCCAAATTTCCTGCCTCACTCTGATGACTTGGCTGCTGTTACTTATTTTTATACAGACTGTGCCCAGGTCCTGCTTGGATGGGCAGCCATATAGAAGGCAGATTGGGGAGAAAGATAAAAAAAAGTCAAAAGCTGAGGAGGATCTTTTTACTTTCTTGCTATAATTTTCATCAGACTGAAGACCTTGCGTCAGTGTCTTTATCCCAGCTCACTGGAGGTTCTGCCCTATTACGTATTGTTTCATTGGCAGCAGAAAAAAACATGATTCAGTTTTCTCTCTCTGTTTCTGAGTAGTCAAAGAGAAAGACAGCTATAACTTGAGCTGCACATAGAAACATAGAAGGGGGTACTTGCAAACCTGCTTTTGAAGATCGGTAATGAGTTATCTTTGCTGGAAGCCAAGAGCAGAGACTCACAGTTGGAAGAAAAGGTCAACAACCTCACATTTATTTACTTTCCCATATTTTTGAGTGCAAGCATTCTTGTTGAAACACATGGATACACTATAAATTTATGCATTACTTAAATGTAGTCATCTTTCCTTCAGCCGTTGTTTTGGACTGGGTCTCATAGATGAGGTACTCTGTATTATCGCTTCTCATCTCAGGAGATGTGATTAAAAAGAGGCTGAGAAAAGAAAAGAAGAGGTAGGAAGTGAGTTTTCCAAGTAAGGTGAGAAAAGTTCCGTTCTCTTGTTTGTGTGGGCCTAGTTTATATCCGTTTGTACTTTATTTAGCTGTACTCTCAACTTGGAACAAAAATAACCAAAATGACAGGATATGACTACACATCTGCCCCATATAAAAGTAGTATAATTAAGCATGTGACTTCTTAACATTGAGGATGAAAGAAAGCAGCATGCAGAATTTTTTCATTGCATCCTGTTTCACTCAGCTAGGTGCTGAGGTGATCAGCTCCAAGGACATAAGCAGTGGAGACGTCTGCCTTTGTATATAGGGGCATTGCTCTCCTAAGAAGAGAAAACATCATTTTCCTGATTGGGCAGTGGCCAGTGCATGATAATTCAGGGGAACAAAAAGCTCCTGCAGTGCCCCAAACCATTTATATCCATGTGTACATAGAAGACCATAGAAAGATGGTATTTAGCTGTTTGTATCTTAAATTGCATTGTTTTAATGCTGACAGAAGTCCCTTTGTGCTCTGAAGTATGACATTTTGATTGCTTTTAACATGCCAGTGTCAGCAGCGGAGCAGAATTTGACAATATCCAAAGTGGAGGGAGTCAGCAGGCTTTGAATTTGAAGATGTGGGAGAGTGCCAGAGCGAAGCAGTGCTACGCAGGGATGTGCAATCTCTGAGACAGGAGCAGTACTGGATAACGCTGGGACAACCCTGAGGTTATCAGCCCTTTCCTCTGCCAGGGGTTGCTGTTGCTTCGTGCATTCCCCAGCTTACGCTTTGATGGGCTGAGGCAGCAGTAACACCTTTGGCTCTCCTGGCAAGAGGTGGCAGAGCTCTCAGGCAGACTCCTGAAGGTAGCAAAGGACTGGGTCTGAGCCGGGCAAGCGTTTCTCTGTGTTTCTCAGGGGCACTGCAGACTGCACGTGCTGTAGAGCAGCCCTGAGGCTGCAGGAGGGTGGCACTGGAACTGAGGCCGCTCATAGTCCCAATTTCGCAGAGTTGCTGTAAAGTGCTTTGGCACGTTAACCTTTTTCCCAGCTGATCAGGGCCTAATCTACCATTACTCTCACTGCTAAGTGTTCTTCCTTGGTAAAAACCTACTTTGTGTAATTCTGTGAATGTCTTGAGCAGAAAATTCCACTTCCCTGTTGTTGGGTTTTTCCCAAATAAGCCACATGCAGCTGGGACACCAGAGCTTTAGCGTATTTCAGGGTAAGGGTATGTGTCTGTAAAATAATATGACTGTTTTGGAATGTGGCAAAATTGTTCGGCTGGTCATATTGCCTGAATCTAGAAAAACTTATCTTATGTTTGCTTGGAGAAACCCTAGAGTGTCTGTCAGTTAAGATCACATTTATTTTGTTTTTTTCCAGCTCTGACCCTATTAAGTTTCCTTCATTGCTTTGTTAGAATCTGGCTGTTGTCACTCCTAGAATATTATACTGGAAACTGGTGTCTCTTTGATCTCCAGAAGTAAGAGTCAGTCTTACTTGTAATATGCTAAAAACCCTTTCTCCTTAATCTGTTGAACCATGCTCTCAAAATGAAAAAGATTAGTGAGGGTTTTATCAGCTTTTGTGCTTAATTCACTGCAGAAAGCGTACGTAGCATGTAGGGAAGAGGAAGCGACCTGTATGTTTAGGCACTCCGCCATTCTGTGCAGATTTGTGGAAGGAGGTAAGGAACGGGTGTTGTAATAACGTTAAGCCGATGTCCATCTATTTTACACACTTTGACAGGTTTTCAAAGATGAGAATAGAATTGAAAATGAGTGTTAGGTGCTGTTACCTGCTTAGGAAGAGTCAGAAATCTGTCTGAAGGGATATTTTATTGTCCGGTGTTTGCTTAAAAAGCTGTGCTTAAAAAAAATGGCATTTAGGAGTCTTGTTAGCCTGCTGAAACACTGGTTTGGATCATGTCAGAGCCTGGTTGCCGCAAGGAGACTGAAGGGCTTTGTAATGGATTTTGCTGTGCAGACATCCTTGCTGTGCAAATTTGGGAGGGAAGTACAGATGATGCTTTGTTGTTGTCAGCGTGCATCCCCAGGCTCTTCACTGGGGGCTGCTTTTCCTTCCAGGATCCCACAGGCTTTCCAAACATTCAGCTCCTTGCGGGAGATGTTCCCAGAGGTCTCTGGGTACTGTTACTGTGCGGACAGCCTGGGGAGAGAGTTAGCAGATACCGGTAAGAACCCTCCAGCATCTGATCCTTTCACTTGAGAAGCTTTGAATTCCCAAGGGAAAAAGCCAAATAACAACTATCTGTCTTCAGCTTCATTTGGGACTTCAGTTTCATTCTTACAAGGGGTAAAACCACTGTGACCAGTGTAGTGCCCATGGGAAAGACTGGAGCTCACTGGTGAAATCCCACCCTTAGGAACAGCGCTTCAGTCAGCAGCAAGTGGAGTTGCTGCCCAGGAGCTAATCCTGGCTTTTCTGGGATGGTGGAATAGGATTTCTGAATGCCCAGCCTCTGCCCAGATTAGAAAGCTGCATCATATTTGATAAGGCCAATTAGCAAATGCAGGGGAATATAAAGGGCCTGGAGACTGAACTATTTTCCTCTTGCTCAGGTAGAATCATGGAATGGTTTGGGTTGGAAGGGACCTTTAAAGACCATCTAGTCCAACCCCCCTGCCATGGGTGGGGACATCAGATGGTCCTTCCTTTTCTCTCACAGCCTCAGGATACCTTTTAGGCATGTTAATAGTTGATGGGACACTTTAGAAAAAAGAATGTTTTTTCCAAAGGGGAATGAGGAGGTTGAGGACTTCCATCTCCTCTTCCTTAGATACTGTGGTTTTAAAAATTAAAAAAAAACAACAAAAAAACCAAAACAACAAAACAAAACAAAACAAAACAAAACAAAACAAAACAAAACAAAACAAAACAAAACAAAAGAAACAGGAAAAATGCAAAGCGTAGTAACTTCAAATTTAGATGATAGATGAGAAATTCAACATTTAATTCCCACAAGGCTGAGAAGTTCTCAAAAAATTTGTTCACTCAGAGAAACTACTGCACATCTTTTTTTTTTTTTTTGGTATACAACCAAAGTGATTGGGAATTGTTTATTGGTAACATCAGTTTCCAAAATTCCATTACTTACTGTGCTGCAGACTGAACCTAACAAAACCACAGCCCGGTGCTGGTTACTGGATGTTTCTCCTGCTTGTTTTGGTAGATATCAAGACATAAAGCTAATGACTGGGCACTCAGCAGTGGGTCATACGGAGCAGTGCATTAGGGTTATGTAGTACAAGTTCACATTTGGCCTGTTTAGAGGACTGGTTTTCTTTTTCCTGATAGGCTTCCAATTCTGCTACTCTGGTGTAAAGCAGGTGACTTCACTCTTAAAACCAGGCTCTGTGCTAAAAGTCTCTCTTTCCCAGGCTTGGAACTGCTGCTTGATGAAGTTTACGACACAATTTTCTCTGCACTGGAGCCTGCCCGCACATTCACAGAGACCAGCATATATCGGGTCCTGCAGAGGCGGTTTCTGGGGGTTCAGCTAGCTACCTCTGGCAAGTTCAGATGTAAGTAGCACCCAGGTGATGCCCTGTAAATAAGGTGACAATTTTGGAGATTATGTGTGACAGCTACCATTGGGGAGAGTTGTTCTAGGAGTCTCTTGCACTAAAAGCACATAATATCACACCTTTGGTGCAAGGATTAAAGTCCCTGAATCGCAGCTGAATTTAATCTCTGGATTGTACTTTCTTACAAGCAGATTGTGCCTGTCCTCTGATCTGCACTTTCCCATGCACTTGAAGTTTGCATTGGTTGAAAGTCCATGAACTCTCCATATCTCTTGTCTTGAGATTCTGGAGATGGATCTGATGATTTATTAAACTAAAAGCCTGAGAAAATGCTCGCTAATTTATGGTGGTACACTCAGAAATAGGAAGGATCTTACACTGGTCACAACACACTCAATCCCCAGGAGGCTACACGAGAGTTTGCAGTGCCCTAGCCAGCAAGGCTGAACTTCTGAATCTGCCCTCGGGTCCATTCCCTCCCCCGTCGGGGCAGAAAAACTGGGAGAGAGTTTCTCTGCCTATGGGCAGTAAACTCTGCAGGACAAGAGGTCAGGTACCTCCTTCACCCTCCTGCACCAGAGCCCAAGAGAATTGCCTTGGCTGAGGGGAATTTGAACCCCCTGATGTGATCCTTCATCCTCCCATCCAAATTCCTCTGCCATTGCTGTCCTCACTAAGGAGTTGCATCACCAGAGATATTAAACAGATACTGATGTAAGTCTTCTGGCCACATAGTCACACGGTTTTTCTATTTCTGGGACAAGCTGATCATTCTGGGGAGTCTGGAAAACATCTTCCCCCTCCCACTGCACAGTGGTGTGCAGTAAGCTCTGACTGCGGCTAGGGATGCAGCGGCTGCCAGCAAAGATGGAGCTGTAACAGCCACAAGATGGAGATATGATCACGTTCCTCAGCCGCTGACAAGGACTGCTTTGGTGACTTACCCAGATCTCACGCCGCCACCTGAAGCCACAGGCATTAGGAAAGTTGTCAGACTTCCTTGATGAACAGGTTGCTCTGATGTGATGCTCTTGCTGCCTCAACCTGGTAGCTGAGTGTAGCTGGGAAGCTCTTGAAGGTGAAAAATGTTTAGGCTGTAGGACTGTAGATTTATATAAACAAACAAAATTTCTGTTGGAAAGGTGGAGTCTAGTACTAGAGAGATCATAACTCAGAAAATTTGCTTTATGGAGTTTTGGTTTCTCTGCCATTAAGGCCAGTTTGACAGGAGTAGGGTCTTCAGATCCCTGCAGAGAGAAATAGAAGAAATTGGGTGGTCCCAGACCAAATCTCCACAGTCAGGTGCCGATGCTTTTACAGGAGCAATGCCTTGTTCTCACCAGAAACATTGATGCCTATGTGCATCTTGGTCTCCCAAGCTGCACATCTATCTCTGTTGACCACCTTTGCATTTGCATTAAGAGCCAGAGCTCACCTAGCCTCCAGCATGGCTCTCAGCAGATGCTGCTACTCAGCCTACCCATGACTATGGCTGAAAACTCTGTTGAGGTTTTATTTTCTGTTTAGTTTTCAGGCATGATACCTACAGCAGAAAACCCTGGGGCCAGTTCTCCAGGGGAAAGGAGGATGGAGAATTTGCATTTTGGGCTGGTACTTGAAGTTCCACTGAAAACAGTCAGGAAATGAAACTTTATTTTTTCTTTTTCCGCCAAATAGGCAAATGATAGGATCAAGCAGAGATGGCTCTGAAACTTTGAGCTTTCCCTCCTTAACACATACTGTTTTTCTTCCAGGCCCCTCAAAGTGTGAGGTTGAGCGGTATGCAGCCCTGCGTTACCAGCACGCCTACGTGCCATCTTGTGATGCTGATGGGAGCTACACGCCAGTGCAGTGTCAGCAGGGAGGACACTGCTGGTGTGTGGACACCAAAGGGCAAGAGGTCCAGGGCACAAAGAGCCAAGGACAGCCCCCAGCCTGCGGTATGTATGAGGCTTAGAAAAGGAAAAACGAGTACATCTCTTGTGTTCATTTACTTGCTCCAGTCTGTGTGCATCACTTTCATTTTTCTTGGAAAAAATCAAAGGGAGTCGGGGGGAATAATTTTATAGTAATTGTCGAAGCGTGGTGCAAATGCCAGCCATTGTCCTTCGGTGCTTCCCCCAGCTGGTGTCTGTGAGAGGCCAACCTTGGTCTGTGGGAGATGTAGGAAGAGAAAAGGAGCTAACAAGCGCTGTTGCTTGTAGATCCATGTATGCTTCAAATTCAAGCCAAGCCCATTCACCTTCCCTCTCCAAACACTTCATCCACTGCGGAAATTTTGTCTTTAGAAAGAAACCTGAAGGACTAGTTCCCTTCCCAGCACTGACAGATTCTGGTCTTCAAAAACTGGGATCCAAAATCCTCCTTGGGGTTAAAAGTCACATTTTAATAAATTATTAAATGTCATATTCCCTTTATTTTCCTTTATGACCTTTGCTTAGCCCTTTATTTTTGCATACAGCAAGGCTTTTCTTTGCAGCCATATCTGTCTCTTGACTCCATGGGCTGAGGCACTAGGTCAGAATATCTGGGATAATATAAGGAAGCCAGTGATGGTGGGTTTGGGTTTTACCTCCTTCATTTGGAAAAATGCTATGGAATATCTAAGGCATCTCTCATCCTGAGCATTTTTTCCCCCATCTCTGTCACTGCATGAAAATTGCCAAATCCAGTAAAAAAAAAACCAAACAAACATTTTGGAAAAGGTGTATGGGTTTGGGCTTTGAGAGATTTCATTAGGTATACACCATCAAATCAGTTCTCCAAATGGAAATGACAGCAGAAATGTCAAAGGGCCGGAGGGGAGGAGGAAAGTTAAAAACCTTCACTCGGGAGCTCACTACCTAAATATTCAGGACTGCGGTGGGGGGCTGGGGAGCACAAGGTCTTAGCGCAGGGGCCACCTTCAGGGAAGGTAATTGCTCTGTCTGCGAGATGCAGCCTTACCACGCAGGTAGAGAAGGAGGAACCTACCCTGGGTGTCACGGCTCCCGGTCCCTCGGAGTGCTCTGGGCACAGACAGGCTTACTGTGAAATGAAAATGTTAGCATGCCTCCAAGGCTGATCACCAAGGATATTGCAAGGGAACCTCTGAGAGGCCTCACCATATGTTGGGACTGGTTGTTTTCTCTTTGAATGTGCTTTGCTGAGCCCTCCTGATGATTTTTTTTTGGGGGGGCGGGTTGGGGAATGACTTGATGCACCTTGCAGCTTTTAGTGATGGACTCGGGAAATTTAAGCAGGGAAAAAATCTCTGCAGAGGTTTTGCAGACTAACTCCCGAGAAGGTATTTCATGAGGATATAGCTGCAGTCTGTGTTCAGACAGTTACATGCCACATGCGTGTCTCCAGTTCTGCTCTGTATTACTTCTCTTTAATATCTTCGACTCTCACGCTCAGCAGCGTGAATGCTGGAGGAGGCAGAGATGTAGGTGTGAGTAGCACATTGGGTACTCTCATGACCAGGCAGTCCTGAGAGGGACATTCTCCTTTTCAGACCTTTAAAAAAATAAGCAGCCCTTTCCTGCTTATTCCTTGTCACTCTGCTTTGATTTCATTCAACAGTGGGTAGGAGGAGAAAGCATTTAAAGACCGTGATCCTACATTTTTTTCATATTAGCATACTTGCGGGATCGTGGCTTACACTAACTTATTGATCCCCAGAGGAATATTCTTCATCCCTCTTACCAAGAGCCAACACTGAAAACAGAAGGGGCCCATCCTACAGAAAATGCCTTTACAAAGGAACCACTGTGAGGGACGCTGAGCCCCTGCCAGGACATGCGGAGCAGGGCAAGGGTGTGACAAGGAGGAGTGAGAAAGATGCTGATCACAGAGCCTCAGATTACTTGCTAATCTATTTTAGCAGCTTTTAAGATTTCCAGCTTTTATCCTGAATGTTAACAGGATTTATGACTGCTTTATCATATTGCCTGAATGTAGAATAAATGGGGATGGGGCAGGGAGCCCAGGGAAGGCCATGCTGGAGCAGACCAAAGCTGTTTATTCACCATCCTGTCCCCTACAGGGACAGCAGTGGTGCTTAGAGAGAAAGCGTGAGAAACATGGGACATATATGTAGCTTCCGTATACCCTCCCTGTTGCCTGCAGGCTAGGGAGTCCCCAGACTGGAGGCTGAATCAGGATCATTATGTTCAGCACTCCTCTATGGAGTCATCTTCTAGGGATTTGCCTAATTGCTCTTTAACCTTTTATCCTTCCCAGCATCCTCTGGCAATAAATTTCATGGTCATAATTATGTGCTCTACTTCTGGACCATTTTAATTCCGACACTGTGAGAAATACTGAATAATAATTGTCTGTTGTGAATGTTGTGGAAAATCCTGTTTTTTTAAAAACCTTTATCATATTTTTTGTGGAGGCTGAATAGTTTCTCCTACTGGAAAAGCTGTTCTGTCCTCAAAATATTTTTGCATCCCTTCTCTATAATTCTGCTACTTTTGCATCCCTTCTCTGTAATTCTACTGCTTTTCAAGGAAAGGTGACCGTGTGGCACACGATTCAAGCTGCCGCATGCGTTCCAGAGATCCAGTCAGTGCCATAACCAGCCTGTCTGTTTGGTTCTCGGTGTCTTTATATCTACTAAGTTTTTCCTTTTTTGATGGCTTTTGAGCCTTAAACTGACCTTTTCAGAGGTCCTTCTTCAGTGATGTGTTGCATCCTAACTGAGGCATTCC